GGTCCTAAGGCAAAGCCAAGAGATTGAGAAGGAAAATAGCACTTAGCTTTACCTTAATAATCTTCATGTTCGATTCGGAGAAACTAATTCGACACGCGCTAGACCGATTTGGCTCACCGTCTCATATTCTGGCAGAATTTTCAGCGTTATAATACCGAAATGCGCACAGTGGGTGGTGTCTTGCTCCTATATTTTGATATGCATCTGCTAGTCTAGAAAGCGGTCAACAAAGCGGAGGTTTCAGGGCTCATGAATTCCGGATTAATTTTCTAGGAATCAAGAATAATAGTGCTAAGGTATAGATAATTTCGAAAACTACTGTAGAAGCCATTTGTGATCGCATATTCGAAAATCCCGGTCTCTTTCTCGCTGGAATAGCTTTCTTCCTCTTGATCAATACCGGATGTTAATTATTAACTCCCGCATACTCAAAGGGCTTTGTCACCAAATAATGGGCTGAAAATATGGCGCATCAAATCACAAGGTTAAAGGATCTAACACATACGATTTCGGATTTTCTGAGCACATTCTATTGGCTGCACGATTTTTCTCACAAGGGGAATCCCGCTTACACATCTGCTGAATTCTGTAGATCACTAGCAGTTACTCTCCATTTTATAACTAATGCCGATACTCATTTTTCTAAGTAAGGGAAAAACGCGAATTTGATAAGGTCCAATAGTAGTCTGTGGTCGGGACTCACTATGCCCGATCAATTCCTTGCCCAAGAATCTTCTTATGGCAATAGTTCTACTGACATGCCCCTATTCCTGTTAACTTCTTTAGTATATTTGCTTTACTTTTTAAAATTTACCTAAATCAGCTTTTCTATGTTAATATTCCTCGATCACTAGACAAGCCTCCGTTACTAGGACCAGATGACGATTAGGAAATGTTTGCTAGCTTAGTTTCACGTTATTTGGCCTAGGAGCTGAGTTTTCCTAGCTGCTAGTTATTTTCGGAAGATGACAGCTTTAAGGTGGGCCATCGAGCTCCTAGGAAATACGATAATTTATTGCTCCTAGAAACTAATAGTTTATATCTCAATCCTAGGAATAAGCGCTTAATTCTTGGGTGATGAGGTAAACATTAAACGTACAGAAATGTTATTACATAATAACATATAATTATCTCTTTGAACTATAAATTGCCCATGGATGCACAATCAATATTCAGAATATAGAACTAATTCATGCTTCCTCTCAATTCATCGAAACTATAAGAGCTCTCGCAAATCTTGGTCATTTTTTCCATTTCGCCCCGAAAGATCAGGATGAAGCCCTCCGCCTGCTATGAGTGTCATAATAGAAAGATGCGCTGCTCAAAAGACGGTCCACCATATCAGGCATATGTAAAGAGGGAAGATGGAGCTGAGAAGTGTATCTACCCTAGGCAGCCTCGACTACCAGCTAATCAAGCTACATCTGAAGAGAATGCAACTAAGGATTTGTTAGACCGAATTCGATATCTGGAGAATGAACTCCAAAATATGAAGAACGAGGCTGGATTATCTGCTCCAGATGATCTTTCGGAAGTTAGTTCTGATGTATCACCATACGCCTCAAGGTCCCCCATCAGCGAGACAACAGATCAGAATGATAAGAGATGTTTACTAGAGGTTTTCAGAACTCTCAAGATGCATGTGTGTTATGAGCCAGCAGCTTCAATTAGACATGTTCATTGGGTTGGGTAAACCCATACCCAACCCAACCCAACCCACAATGGGCTGGGTATGGGTCAGAAATTTTACCCAAAACCCATATGGGTTGGGTATGGGTTTGAAGTAAAACCCACACCCAGCCCATAAACCCATCTTTTTGCCAAGACTTTTATTTCACGTGATATTTGTCACCTAGTTAGTACTAGATTGAGGCAAAAATTAGGCACTAAGGCACTAATTACCCTAATTTAGTTTAGGTTGAGGCGAAAGTCAGGCATTAAGGCATCAAAAATACCCATATGGGACCCATACCCAACCCATACCCACGTGGGTTGGGTTGGGTATGGGTATGGGTTTACCTTACCCCTGATGGGTTGGGTATGGGTATGAATTTTGACCCATACCCAACCCATGCACATGTCTAGCTTCAATATCCGAGTCTTTGGTTGCTATAAGCCCCGCAGCAGGATGCCTAGGGACTTTTTTTCTTCCTATAACCTACTATGATGACCTACAGTTCCCCCTGGCTCAAAGTGCTAGTCCTCGCATGAATCTCATTGCACTTCTCCCACCTCCTCAATATCTTACGAGACTTAAGGAAACATATTTCCGTGTCTTTTCTCCAGTATGTCTTCAAATGTCCGAGTTTTTGAAAATTCAAAGCCAAAGCTAACTTAGCATCAAGCTATTCTATATCATTCACGAAAAAACTTTCTAAGAGCAGTATCAACTATTTTGCCATGATCAGAACTATGTTTCTTTAGGATGGCTAGCCTTACTTTATTCTATCCTGGCCTTGGCGATAAGCGCACTTGAAGATAACGATCCCATGTTACGTGATCTAAGTAGGGAGACGTCTACGAGTGAAAATATCTAAGTGCTATCTACACGCTATTCAATTACTGCACAGAGATGCTTTACAGCTAATGGATTCATGGATCATCGGTCAATAAATTACCTACAAGCCATCCTTATTATAGGCTTCATAAAGCTTTACCAAGGCCTACCTTACTAGCAGTTGCTTCGATCTACACATTATTTGGCTGTGTCCATAGGATGCCATATTGATCTAAAGATATTTAGGCTAAAATTGATTGAGCAAGAGGAGCGTCGCAGAGCTTGGGCTGGGCTTATGGCTCTTCATTCTGTTCAAAGTCCGTTCTTTGGCAGTTTAAATCAGCGGATATTCATGGAGAATATAAATCTGCCTGCTGACGTTGATGACTTTCATCTTTGCTTGACAACCCCCCAACTACATATGACGGACGATTATGCCTTGCCGACAGCTGTTCGACCAACATAGATGACTTTCCTCCTTCTAAGCCTTCGCCTACATACAATCGCCAACATGATATATGAATCAATCCTCAGCTATTCCCCGAAACCACGATTTTCCATGTCTGAGCTCGAGGCTGAAATTATGACAGTCCTTGAAGTGTGTAATACACAGTATCAGCCTATTCCAAACCATAGGCCCTTGCATATACAAAATCAAGCCAGCCTTTATATTCTTCAGATTCAGATTCACCAGCTCTTCCTCCTTCTTTTCAATCCCTCCCTATGCCACTTCCTTCAGGGGGAAAATTCACTTGAGATATGCACCGTAAGATCTAAATATATCTTATCCGCCAAGCTTTCTTTAGCGAACTTCTGGTTATTACATGAGTCAACATATTTAAGCTCATACAAATGGTACACTCGCGGTATTAGCTGCTTTTATGCCTTTCAAGCAGCCATGGCCTTAGCAGTGAACGTGTTCCATATAAAGGATCAAGCCGAATTTGACGAGTTAATAGGGATCCTAAATCACACGTTGGGAACTTTCGACCATCTCTCCATAAAAAGTGGCCTAGGAAGTAGAGCAGCTCAAATTATCAGAAGCATTATGTACTATATGTTTTTTTTCTAAAGCCCCGACACCAAACATTCCTTTTGGATACTGACAAGTTCATTCGTAGTGATATCGCCTTCAACTACTACGAAGCTCAAAGACAAATTACAAACTATCCATAAAGAAAATTTCTCCCTAGCTTTCTGGAGAGTTCTTCCGAAGGTTACGCTTTTTGAGGGTATAAGTCGTTGACTGAACCGAATGCTCATTTCTCTTGTCTTAAGAAGATGCCTCAGTCTTTTCCTGCATACAAGTTCACATGACTCAGAAGTTTCCTGACTAGTCACAACCCTTTGTTTAAACATCATTAATCTTGATTGAATTACACGGCTCTTTCTCGTGTATAAACATTCGGGTTGCGCAAAGGCCTGCTCGACCTTGAAAACATAAAGAAATATTATTCCTACACTTGGATTCAAAACCGGCTTCCATGATCTATAAACGGGAATTTGCTTAAGAATCCCAAGCTCGGGAATTTAATTTTATCGCAATTAAGAAAATTGGAGGCAGACTCCATAATGGCGGCTTTATTGGTGACCTCACGCGGCTAAATAGAGAAAGAAGAGTGTATTTTGGCTATAACAGGTCACCTGTCGCTGCGATCGTAGAACGTAGCGTCAGATGGGGGCCCGTTCGCGCTCCCTGGTTGGAGGCAATGTGTCTGTATTATAGTAGATTCTATATACAGAGGGGAGGCGGGAGGGAAATAAACGAGACTTGACTATGCAAGAGATGACGAACTACTGTATAAAGGTGCGATAAAAGAAGGGCTGTTTAAAAGTGCTGAGGTCGGGTTTTAGAAAGTAGGGTTTGAAACAGCTTCGCTATGCTTTCGACATGGAAACATGACTAGTACACGATTTTTCACATACTATATAGAGTCACCAGTTCGGAATGTCCTAGAAACGAAAGTCATCTTATCTAGATTGAAAGGATTAAAAATGCATATCTATCACTAGTATTAAAGTTGTTAAATACTCCCTCATGATTATTTCAGTCAAAGTCCAATATATAAAAAATAATCTAGCTAGCTAGATCGATTTCAAATAGATTCGTTGTGAATTTGAACAATTTTAATAATTCGCATCACTATTGCCATCATTAAAACGCGTACTACTCACGACACATCCACTACTTTGCCTATTTTTTATCTAATCCTACAGCTTAATTCGTCAATATCGAGAACAACGGGTGGTATACTATTTATTCTGCTTTCTATATCTATCAGCAAGTTTTAATTCTAATTGATAAATGATACCCCGCAAGCCCGAAGTCTTAAGTCTGATGACGTCAGTTGATCAAAGGTTCAAAAAACCAGGGGAACTTTTTTGTGGTGTAAAAATGGAATATTTATATTTCAAAATGACTTTCTAATGAAACACCCTTCCTTGAAATACTAGTATAAGAATAAACCTCACGATCTCTGTTTTCCGCCTTCTCCTCATATCAATGGCAGCCTGGCTTGACCTCTCGCCAGAGGCCACAGGCTGGACATTAGTCGATACAGGGCGTCTACAAAACCTTGTGGAGAGCTTAGCCCACTCCCAGAGTCAATATCCTTCGCTTGTCCTTTTCATCGGAAATAAATGTCGGGTCAAAGCACTCCAGGCATTATTCCCCTATAATAATATCACTCGAAGAGGACCATCTAGGTTTGTAAGGCTCCATATTAGTACGGAAACAGTGAAAGACCTACATCCTATATTCTTTACAGAATGTAATTTGCCTAAACAATCTGGTCTAAATGAGGTGACCTTATGTCCATAGCCAACCGAGAGATTCCAACGTTATCCTATGCAACAGAAATCTTCATCTTTGGCAGATATGCAGCATAATGTATTATCCAGAGTTCTCCTGCCATAGACACAAGTCGTGTGCTTCTTCGTCGATAAAACGGCAGATTTTGCTAATATTCAGCGTCTTCTCAAGATAAATCGCCGCAAAATAAGAGTTGGAGCAAAATCTATTTCAGATTCCCAACATGTGATCATTATCCTAGTGGGCAAAGAGATTAAAGAAGAAGACCCATCGTTTCAAGAAATGTTATGCTTTTCAGAAGAACAACCACAAATACTCGTAACCTTCTTAGATCTACGTCATAGACATATGTTGTCACCTGCCGCAGCTTTTGAGCCGCTCCGCAGTATTATTATAGAGCATATCCATATCACTCAAAACGAGAAAATTGATCGAAGTTTTTCATTCTCTACTTAGCACTTTAGTAATCTCTAGAGCCGAGCTCTACAGTCAGAAAGCAAAAGCCAAGACGAATTCATTTTCGATTGCCTTACAGTCGCGCGAGAAGATATCAAGCACATTTCGATCAGCAGTGATCATATTACACGCTTTCTGAATGAAGCAGCTCGTTTTCAATAGAATAGGGACGATGTCCACGCATTTATAGCATCCGCATTTCTCATGAATGCATATCCACCTTATATGCACTATAAGTTTTTGGATCTAAATACCTTTATACTATCCGATTCAAGCACTTATTGAATCTCATACAAAGTATTCGATCCAGATCAAGTATTTAGTGAACTTTACAAACAGCCATTGTCGGAGGCTTTCATAGATCAGTCAAGCGTATACTCAACAAGCGACTCTGAATCCACTTTGGCTTCTTTCATTAAACTGTTTAATGACTTAAGCTTTGAAAACCCATCGGCAGACATTAGGAAGACCATTCTAGAAAAGCTTTTCCGCCAATACAGGGGATTATACTCAGCCACATCTTGCTTCTTTTGTCTATGCAGAAATCCGGAGCATATGATGCCGTGCCGCCATGCCATTTGTGATAACTGCACTATCATTTTTGGTCAACCTAGTAGAAATGCAGAGTACCACTTTGTTATACACCAGTGCCCGCTATACAATCAGAACTTGGAGTTAACAATCTCTCAGCTTCCTCCGATGAAAAGACCAGTCATTCTCAGCCTGGACGGCGGGGGGATTCGAGGTATTTTGCAGCTTGGTCTTCTATATGGCTTAGAGAAAAGAATCGGTAGTAGGATATCGCTGCCTCAGATATTTGAATTGTCCGCAGGGACCAGTGTTGGTAAAGATCTATCTTTAACTCTTCTCATGGACTACCTCTATATTTGACTTACTTACACTTCTTATATAGGGGCTTTGAATCAGATGGATTTTGCATTTAACAAAAACTCCGCGGAACAAAGTTTCGAAAAGTTTCCACAATTTGCTCAAGAGATATTTCCCTCGCCGAGGCCTTCTCAGGCAGTTTCTTTTGCTAATTGTGAGAGATGGATGAGATGGCTGACGGGAGTCCTAACCGATGGCCAGTACGATGAAGAGAATCTTGAAAATATACTTAAGAAATCTCTTGGCTCAAATCGTCGAATTTTTGACGTTGGAACAACTTCCGGTGTGGGAAGCCGAGTAGCAGTTATCACCAGTCGAGTGTCCGACGGCAGGGCATGCGTGATAGCGAATTATCGCGGTGCAGGTTTTCGTAGTGCTGAGTCAGCATACCAATTTCTCATGCCTGAAGCCCAAGATCAAAACCCTTTTTTGTGGGAAGTGTAAGTGTTTTTGTACTTTAATATTGATATCATTGCTTAAGATCTCTATAACTAATATTTGGATTTTAGCGCTCGGTGCAGTATTGCAGCTCCGTGGTAAGAGAACAGACCCACTATAAGTCGCTGAATACTGATTCTCGCTATGTTAGGTTCTTCAAGACGAAAACGCTCGCCGGATTTGGTCCTTTATAAGATGGTGGTGTGCGTGCAAATAATCCCCTGGCTATTGCCTTGAAAGAGTCCATGGTAATCTGGCCTAAGGCAGGAAGACACGATCTTCTGGTCTCTGTTGGGACGGGTTCCTCAAGTGTCAAGACTTCGAACATAGAAAATAATGATAGGAAGAAACTTTGGGACACTATAGTGCCTCGTCTCATCCGAGCTACTTTGGCATCCCCGTCAATGGATAGAGAGCAGGGCTTTTTTGAAGCCCTTAACTATATACCAGATCATATGCGGACTGATATATATCGGCTTGATCAGAAAATCCAAGGGGAATTGCCCAGATTAGACGAAGTTGGTAAGATCCTGGATCTATCAAGCTTATGCTTCAGTATACAAGACAATCTGGTTCGGGCTATTTTAGTTACGGGCTTTCTTTTCTTCGAGATCGACCACACCCCAGTCTTGAAACAAGGATCATATTTCTGTCAAGGTTCGATTCTTTGCAAAGGCTCAAAGCCTAGGTGTGTGATTAAAAAAATCCGAGAAGAAATTCCCGGGGGTCAATTTCAAACAGTTCACGGCGATAGTCTTAGCTTACTTGACGAGGATGATGGCTGTGACGAATGCGGCTACTATCGCAAGAAAGTGAAATTCACTATAAATAGTTTAGAAGAGACTTTAACGATTCAAATTGTGACACCTTCAGCTCAGCAGAAGATCGGCGGGTTTCCGAAGTCTGTGCAGGAGTTTCTCGAAGATCAGCAAGTATATACTTGCTTTGGCCGCGCTGATCATTCAACCACTATATGGCCACAACGCAGGACATGTTTTTGCATGCGTGGGATAAAGCGCCCTATCAGGTTTTTAGAGTTTCCTGTCGAAAATAAGAAATGTCGATTCACCACCATGCAAGAGGCTTCTTGACTCGATTCTCTTGAACCAAGACAATTTGGGTCTAAATCAAAAAGAGTTTTTTAATCAGAATAAAGATTTGGTGAAATTATTTTCCTTTCATTTGTTACACTGTTATGAATAATATGTGATATTTTAGCTATCTTTACGTTTGGGTTGTGTCTTTCTATTCTGATATACTTTCATGGAGAATATAGAAAAATCTTCTTGGAAATCAAAAATGGAAATGACTTGTCAGACCTGTATTGAAGATAAAATGATCATAACAACTACTGCTCCAGTATGGCTTATATATAACGGTTGTAGGGATAAATAATGAAGGGATATACAGTTGCTGCCAAGTTCGGCTTCTACCAAATTCACACTCTTTCGCTCTTTCTCGGCGCCACAACCGCGAGCTAGTCTATCTTAGGATTAGGCTATCAATTTGGTATTTTATCGTCTGTATTCAACCCGCTTATACTATATTACTATAAATAATCAATTCTATAAATATACCGCTTTCGAGAAAGTTCGCTGCAAACAAGGCATACCGTATCACCTGAGTGCTAGATTACGCTGACCGATCTCCGATTTAATCCTATTTCAAGTACTGAATCATACTAAAAGATTATATTATGTGAAACTGAACTATATAAATCACTTATGATATTTTTAACAAAATACCTGAAACCTGATAGCATTTAGATCAGATGACTTACTTTAATGAGTGCTCTCTCTAAATCTTAGCAATAAGTTCACTAACGCTGTAACATGAGCACCTTTACCATGTATTTTACTTAAGTGAACCGTAGATGTAAATCTGTAAGAGAGTAATCATTTAAAGAGAGCAACTATAAGAAGATGTGTGATAACAAAATATTCGGGTTTGGTAGGCATTGAGTTGTTGGATGTCATTCTTCCTCCGTTTCTCACTCTTATTCTTCCCATTGGGCTAATATATCTGAGTTGGATAAAGTATCTGGATGGCTGATTCCAAGTGTTTGTTTCTGTCGTACTAGGCAGTTTTTCAGCAAAATGATGGCCTTGGCAGTGTGACCTGAATTTTTCCAGGTAAAAGCGAGATTGGCCATACTGGTCAGCGTGGAGGGATGGTCCTCGCCGAGCTTCGTCTTGCGAGTCTCCATCACCTGCACAAAGAGCTGCTCGGCCTCTTCCCACCGGCCCTGGTTCCAAAACGTCGCCCCCAGGTTGGCCATACTGGTCAGCGTGGAGGGATGGTCCTCGCCGAGCTTCGTCTTGCGAGTCTCCATCACCTGCACAAAGAGCTGCTTGGCCTCTTCCCACCGGCCCTGGTTCCTGTATGTCGACGCCAGGTTGGCCATACTGCTCAGCGTGTCGGGATGGTCCTCGCCGAGCTTCGTCTTGCTCGTCTCCATCACCTGCATAGAGAGCTGCTCGGCCTCTTCCCATCGACCTTCGTCAAAATACACTCCTGCCAGTGTTCTCTGGACGAAAATTTCACTCTCATCTCTATTATCGATCCACAGTAGGTCAATACTCTTTATATCTGGGAGGTGAACCATCAAATGCCGACGAAATTGGGGCTGATGACTCTCTGTCGTGATTTGATAGCATGCAGCCACTATAACCTTTATATACCACCACTACCACTATTGATTTTGCTCGCCATATATTGCCCTCCATTGTACTAGACTATGCATCGTCGTACCAGGCCAATCTCCGTGCACTCGCTGTAGCAGGCTATACCATATTAGAATATCGCAGCTTCTTCGATACTGGAAATCGTCCTATCTACCTTCAATTGCGGTGAAAAACATTCCAAGTCTAGCAAAATCCTCTTCCCCGAGTTCGTCGTTGGCAGTCAACATACCAAGGCTTGCTAGACGAAATATCTCATCTTGGACGATCGTACCTTTAAAGTGTGCCAGGAGTGACAATAATCGGTCAGGCTGAAACTCCTTATGATCTCTTTTGACTTTCTCCAAAGTGGTATCCCATACGGTCCACACCGTTTTTTCCGCAGAGGTTAGCCCACGAAGATCATCCATCTTCAAGAGCTCATCTCGATGCCTCTCGTAGTCTTCCAAATACTGAATCAGAGACCGTTCAGGAGCGGGGTCATTCCTAATATATGCACCGGCAAGATCAATTGCTAGTGGTAAATATCCAAGCTTATTCGTAATCGTATCGCATCCCTCTTAAACAGCGTTTAAGGATAAATTGATATCGTCTGGTAGGTGGCGAAGAAGAACCATTCTCGCTTCTTCTGGTGACATGACACCAATTTGAACCGCTTCACAGCCCCTGTCCACCAGCTTATGACTTTGGCTATCGCGGCTAGTAATGATAAGTCTTCCTTGGGTTCCCCTCGGCATGATCTTCTTAACGCCCCAGGTGACGTCATCGGCATTATCGACAATGGCTAGCCATTCATCATCTCTTTCATTCCGGTCACGAAGCCATTGAAGGACACCTTGAATGACCCGGTCATCTATAAGCGATAGGTTATCGTTGTCGCCTCTTTCATCGGGTAGTCCGAGCTTCATTACACATCTGATAAAACTTGATCGGACGGTCTCCTCACTCGTTGCGTCAATCCAAAGAACTGGATTATATTCATCCGCGTGACTTTCTGCATACTTCAGGGCTAATTGGGATTTTCCAGCGCCGCCTAAACCATGGAGAGTGACTGCGTATGGAATACTGGCATTTTCGTGTCGTCTCTATAGCTTTTCTCCGAGCTCCTCCCAAAGCTGATCTCGTTGAGTAAATGTTTGCACTGTCTCAACCGGGACAGCATAGTGGCGCCTTGCTGGTTGAACTAAAGGAGTCACTATCTTAATGAGCTTTGACTTGATGCTATTATAGCATTCGTTTCTTGATCCAAATTTGTTAAGTCCGTAGTGGTCGACAGGAAGACCGATTTTGCTGACCGTTCTCCCATCAAATGTAGCAGATCTCTCGGGGACACACTAAGCTTATAATCAGTAAACACTTGATTCAAGGATATGATCACTCACAAATATCTGCCACTGGATGAACCATAATCGAAGAAGACGAAGTGGCCTTTGCTCAAAAAAGTTGACTACCTGTAAGTCATCGTGTATACTAGCTATGAAACTCTCGTGAAGATCGCTTAGGAAAACGGAGTCATATTCTAGATTGGCAAGAATCAGAGGATTAGATCCTAGGGGTTTCAAAGCAGATGCCGCAAGCCAACCCCACGGGCCAAAGCTGGACCCGCGATGCGGTGTACCCAGAAAAAAGATTGCTTTTGTTTGCTCCATAATATGGTTAACATTGTGTCTCCGCTTAGCTTGAATAAGCGCCTATCAAATTAGTGACGCGTATTATAGAAGAAAATCGGTTTACTTACTTCTTTAATCACTAGACCCCCATAACTATGTCCTATAAAGATCAAGTGTCGACTCTGCTCCTGTCGTGGGTGTTAGTAATATCCTTAGTAGCTAGGCGCTATCAAGACTCACATCCTTGAACTGGTGAATCTGTCCGTCAATGTGCTCGAGGAGACTATTACCAACGCTGGTAAGACGTGTGTATACCGCATCCCTCTTCCAATATGAGTCATAGTTATAAAAGAAGATACGTGCATCTTTACGGATCTCCTCTTTAGCTGGTAAAGTCTGTTAGAACCCGGTAAGTCGCGGGAGGGTCTGGAAAGAAATTCGAAAACCGAAGATGATATAAACCGTATGGCGAACAAAATATCTTCGGTGCATCAAAAGCTGTAAGATATTCTTAAGACAAGTTGCTTCTAGCAATGTAGTCAGCAGCTGAGGCGCCAGCGCTGGAGGCCCGAGCGCTCTACACCTCATCGAGGCAATGGGTAAAATACCAAAAGCATACCCGAAACTAGTCTATCAATACTGTAGAAAATTTATTCCATAAATATGCCTCCTTCGAGAAAGTTCGCTGCAAACAGGGCAAACCATGACACCTAGGCCAGGCCCTTCTCCCCCTCCAAATTCCCTTTCGATACTCATAGAACCTACACTGTTCTTTGTCGCCATACTATCTGTCCTTTACTTATCTAGGTAAAGACTTGACTAGTACGATTTTCGGCTTGCTAAGCACTGTCCGTTGGCTATACGCTTGGTCTCGCGTAGTAGCCCACCTGCATGTTCACTGAAATTCTATGATCAACCGGCAGTCACTATATATAATGTAATTGACTGCTGATGCTCATTATTCTAAGCGAGTACACATGCTAACACGATGGGGCCCATCAGTACCACGTGGCTCAGAACTCACTATGACTAGTCCTTTCCCTGCCCAAGAATCTCCTTGTGCCAATCTTTCTGACTGGTATGCCCCTACCCCCGGCTACCTCTATGAGATACCGGCTTCGCCTTCGAACTTCAGCTATATTAGCTCTTGCCATAGTCGCCCTTCGCAGAACTCTACTCCACCCCTAATATTAGATAAGCTTCCGTTAGTAGGACTTGACGACTGGCAAGCGGGAAGAGCTTACGATGAACTTCCTCCCATATGTATTCACTATTCAATCGAGTGGAAGGTGGCGTTGAATAAGCGAGTGGTATCAGAGGATACGGAACAAAATTTAGTGTTGGCACCTGGTGCTTACTGGGAGAAATTTCTCAAAGGCAAACTAGCGAGGGTTGTTGCGCAGAAATTTTTGCCCAGCCAACGAGTTCGGCTCGACGATACTGCTATCATAGTCAAGATCAATGACCGTACTGAACATGATCTGACTAAACGGTTCGAAAAAACTAGTATTGATTGGTCACCTGTGGAGAACCAGCTTCTGAATTGGGGTGATCTATTTCGCGCTAGCAAGAAAATAAGGCTTCTGATTACGTTTTATTATATTGGTAATACTCGTTCGCTTCCTAAGAAGGGCGATAAAAGAGGATCATCAGCGACCTAAAGGATGTAGGCAGAAAGGGAAGATTAACTTGCTGCCGAACATAGCTCTAGCCTAGGTGAAACTTGGCGGGAGGTATATCAGTTGATGCGATGTCGTGACAGAGCGTGTAAACATGGACCGCATTGTTTTAAGGATCCCACATCCCAGAAGCATTATTCACTAACCACACACCACCTTCAAAGTCTTATCAGTTTTATCAATGGTGGTGGTATCCTACATTCAGAACGTGATATCCCCGACTGGTTTCACCAACAGCTAAAGGCAGAGGAGCAGCTCTTAAACAGTAAAACTAACGATAAAGGCTTATCTTCATATAGAGCACCTTGTCCACCGATTAATATTATATTGCCTACGCAGTCACCTCAAACTTCTATCTCGACCCCGACAGCGCCTAGCTCGCCACTGACAAAAAGATTCCAGCTGAAGCGCCTTGATATTTCCGGTCCTCGGGATATAGCTGTCAAAGAATATAGCGAGTGGCACGCATCTGAAGTTAATGACGAGGATCTCAAGAATGATTTTCGTAAAGCATGTCAAGTGGCGCTGAAAAACGGCCTTGACCTACAACAAATTGTGAATCGTCCCAATCCAAAGTTTTTCATCGAAAGGGACATCAAAATAGGCACGGCCCATCGTTTTGTCGATGACATTATCGAATGGGTTGAGATTCGCAGGGATCAGATGGATACCTTTGATTTTTGAGGGAGATAGGTTTCTTCTCTAGACTTTACATCATGAATTTTGTGTGTAATTTGTTTGTGACTATCATTCATAGTATTTGATTTTTGTGTACATCTTGTGTTTTGTTCCAGTTTAAGTGAAGTCACCTTGATATATCATTCCTAGCCCTAATTCAAATCTTTTGAGTTTCTTAAGCTATTATTGTAATAGACGCGCTTAATTCTAGTTTATGTATATTTCATCAATTGTCAATCCAGCATGCCGGAAGTGGCCTCTTGCACTTTGCTCTCGCGCCCCAATAACATCCACACACCACATGAGAAAATCCTGAAAGCCTCGCCCAGGATTATCCAGATAAAGCTGAAAGCTTCGTTTAACAAATGCCTTGAGCTCAGCAAAAAATTCTTCGATTGGGTTGAGATCGGGTGAATAGGGAGGTAGGTACACTAACTTCACCCCTGCAATTAGTGGTCATTCAGGCCTATTTTTCTGTAATCATGTGAGCTCAAGTTCTAATCCTAGCATAATAAGCTTAGTGCTAACAGCTATAAGAATTCTGGCCCGATCCATACAGACTGCTCTAGCCTCGTTCCTACCGCGGAGAAACTTCTTGATCTCTGCCGACGTGGTATATACACATTTGGTGCTATAAATGGCACCATACATAATGAAACAGTTGACATAGGGTATAGTCTCGAGTTTGATGCTGCTGAATACTGAAGCAATAAATGCTTGAGACTTTTATTGTCGGATACGTAGAAGAGGTACATCGACATAAGGAACAGATCAACCTGGCTTTGAAGAAATGCCATAAGACTACTTTGAACAATCGCATTAGTAAATTATATAAGCTTGACGAAATGAGAGAATATAACATAAGAATAATGTTGAATTCTTGGGCTTTTAGTTAAGAAGATTCAAGTACAGTAGTGACCGCTTTCGCCTTCCATGTCGAATACATAGAGAAGCTGTTTCGAACCCTAATCATGTGATTCACTAATCCAGATATGGCTAGTATGTAATTAATCCGTTTTGTAGTTAACCAGGTAATTTATACCACAGTCCAAAAATACAAGTATGAAAAATACAATCATTTACCCCGATCTTCTAGGCTAGAAGATTCCATGCAAAACCCACAAACAGAGCAGTCGTTGAATGGACAATCTGTCAACAGTTCCTCTTTGTATACTCGGTTTCATTACATGCTGCAGAGCAGATGAGGCTTTTCTGTATTTTTTTCCAGGACCATCTTAGTGCCACTAAACGAGGGTGATTGGCTGAGAGATCATGATGCCTCAGCCTCACTTTCCAACCCCGCTCCTAAACTTTGGGATTCACTCTAAGACGAGGTATCCGTGTTGAAGCGGTTACAGATAGAGGTCGGCACGGATACATATCCGTAAGATTTTGGATTATTCGTATCCGTAACCGTAGTCGAGAGCTTCTATCCGTAACCGTAACCGTAGAAATTCTACGGTTACGGATACGGATTACGGATATCCGTGATATTATGCCACCGCCTAAATAAATCATACGATACTACGATAGAAACTTATCATCCGAAGTCCCTAATTTGATATCTAAATAGTTATCCATTCATTGATAGAATGAGTCTCCTACCACGCCCTAAACGCGCTCCACGACAGGATTACCTTGTTCTAAATGATGGTAGTGATGAGGAAGCTGATCCTAGTGATCGTATCAAAAAGCAACCACGTTATCACTCCCCATTAGATGAAGATGAAGATGAAGATGAATCTATCTCTCCGAATGATTCAGCGAGTCAAATCCCTGAAACAACCTCTTCTATAGTGTCTACTCCTTTAGACTCTTCTTTGCCCAAGACACCAAAATCCAAAAACCAAGCCCTTTGGAGTCAATTTACAATCCGCAATCTTCCAGGGAAGTTCTGGCATCCTAAACGGGGTAAAGGGCTGTTACAGGACCGAGAGATTGTATGTATTCATTATGGAGAATAGAAGATCTTGGATTCCCAGAGAGATACATCAACTTCTAATATGAAAACGCATCTGATGAAAAAACATGGATCAATGATATCATCAGCAACTCAGCAAGCATCTATTGTTTCTATGTTTCGGACAAAAACTAGTCAATCTATGTTAGAGGCATTAGAGGAGAATTTGATTCGATGGATAGTCTTGGAGAATATCCCTTTCACTGCTCTTCAGTCTACAGCATTCCAGCAAATCTTCAGGGTAAGCTCTCTCTCTCTCTCTCTCTCTCTCTCTCTCTCTCTCTCTCTTACTAACTTTAATTATTCTAGGAATTACTAAATACCCCTCTACCTTTTACGTCTGCTCGCACAGTCTCTCGACGAATCAATATGGAGTTTACTCAGTATCGTGCCTATTTGGTCAGTGAGCTCGCGGAAACATGTTCAACAATTGCTTTTTCTTTAGATATATGGACATCCAAGAATCAAAAAGCTATTTTAGGGGTTATTGGACATTAGATAACCCCTGATTTTGAGTACCGTGAGAGGATTCTTGATTTTATAGAGCTTATTGGAGCACATACTGGAGAGAATATGGCAAGCCAGCTTCAAATATCTCTTCAGGAGCTACAACTTGAGTCTAAGCTACTTACTATTACTGCTGATAATGCAACAAATAATAGTGCCCTAATTAAAGAGCTCTACTTCAATCTTCAAGGGTTAAATCTAGCTACACTACAGTTTCAAGGTAAGATTCTCTTCATCTCTCTCTCTCTCTCTCTCTCTCTCTCTCTCTCTCTCTCTCTCTCTCTCTCTCTCTCTCTCTCTTCTTTAATTATCTAAACTCACTTAAGATAGGTCTTGATAGCTATATTAGATGCCTGGCGCATATTCTGAATCTCATTGTCCAAAAGATTCTATCAGAGTTGAAATCTGGCGATTATCAATCTTCTTTAGATGCCTGTGGTATCCTAAAGGACCATAAGAGCCTACCAGCTGGGCATTCTGCGCTAGCTCGTGTACGAATCTTAGCCCTTTGGGTATCTGGAAGTCCTCAAAGACAGCAGCAGTGGCAAATCATTTGTCAGACGCATGGATTACCTGATAAGCTCGTTCGGTAAGCAAGATTCCTTTCTCTCTTTCTTATATATACTTATAGTTCTAGGTATGATATCGAGACACGTTGGAACTCGACATATCTTATGATTCAAGATGCTATCCTTGCTCAAGAGCAGATTAAACATTGGAATAATGTTCAGAATCAGCTGATACCATTTTCAAATGATGATTGGTCTAATCTTCGTGATCTTGCCATGGTTCTTTCAAGATTCTATGAGTTTACCCAACTTATCTCTCAGCGGCAACCTCATATAAGTCTAGTAATTCCTATTTACTATGAATTGCATGACCTCCTTATAGAAGCAGCTTCTTTTGAAGGCGACTTTACAGGGCTTAGTCCTGATATCTCTTCTGCTGTCTTGGTTGGAATGCAAAAGTATAGGAAATACTATGATCTTATGGATATGCAAGATATCTATTATATAGCTCTTGCTCTTGATCCACGTGTCAAATTTGCTCTTTTAGAACAAGAGCTTGAAGATGGGGTTATCCAAGGAATCATTCAGAGCATTAAGGTCTTTCTTCATAAGAAATATCCCCCTTTGGCTACTTCCATCTCTAGTTCTACTTCTAGAACTATGGATCCTCCTGCTCGACCAGGTATGAGAGCTCGTCTTCTACAAAAAGTACATTCTCAAGAAGTATCTCGGGCTTCTGATATTGATCGCTATTTTGATGAGCCTCCTATTCAAGTAGAAGGATTAATAGAAGACCAAGATGACTCTAAGTGGCTGCTTTCATGGTGGAACGCTCATAAGGATCAATACCCCAGGATGGCAGCAGTTGCAAGGGACTACCTTGGTATTCCAGCAGCTGAGGTTTCAGTTGAAAGACTTTTCAGTTCTGTAAGGGATATCCTGGGTGTTCGTCGACAATCTCTGAACAGTAAGACCATGAGAGAGTTAGTTTTGTTAAGAGATGTATATAATATTGATTCCTAATTGAAATTTCTTTTACTTGAGAATTACATGAGATTTATAACTCTATAGACTTGGAAATATATATTAGAACTGCATATGGTTCTAGACACGTGATATAAGCTACGGATATTACGGATATCCGTACGGATAGAGGGCATTTATTCGTAACCGTAACCGTAGAGATTTTATTCGTATCCGTAACCGTAGAAATTCTACGGTTACGGTTACGGATACGGATATCCGTAAAACCGTGCCGACCTCTAGTTACAGACATCGATAACCCTCATATGAGAAACCAGCTTTTCAGTATTACGTGAACTTATCATTATATAGTTAACCTAGGATGGCTGCTAGGACCACCCTCACTTATAGTAATTACACGGTCGGATGGGTATGCGCCCTACCGCTGGAAATGGCGGCTGCGAAGCTGATGTTGGACGCATTACATCCCAGCCTGCCTAGTCTACCAACCGATCAAAACAACTATATCCTTGGCAATATCGGGGAACACAACATCGTTATTGCCTGCCTACCAGATGGCGCATACGGCACTGTGTCAGCTGCAACAGTGGCTATACAGTTGCTCTCGAGTTTCCACTCTATCCGTTTCGGTCTAATGGTCGGTATTGGTGGCGGTGTACCTAGCAGCAACGCAGACATTCGACTAGGCGATATTATGGTGAGCCAGCCAAGGGACACATCTGGAGGCGTGATCCAATACGATCTTGGGAAAATGTTACACGACGGTGGATTTCAGCGGACCGGAATGTTGAACCGGCCCCTAAAGGTTCTGCTGACTACTCTTGCCACGCTATAAGCCCATCATCTTACAGAAGATAGTCGGGTTCATCAATTTATTTCAGACATCGATATCAAGACGCCATGGCGTAAAGCCGTGAATTTCACTCGGCCTATCCAAGAGGATTGTTTATACCAAGCGGAATATGATCATGGTATAGGTAATACATGTGTAGATTGTGACCAATCAAAACTAATACCTCGACCTTCGAGAGACCATGATGAGCCAGTTATTCATTATGGTCTCATTGCATCTGCGAACCAGGTGGTGAAAGATGGTAGACGGCGAGACCAACTGGCTCAGGACTTAGGTGTATACTATGTGGAAATGGAAGCTGCGGGGCTCATGAATGATTTTCCATGTGTGGTCATTCGAGGTATATGTGACTATGCCGACTCCCATAAGAATAAGGAATGGCAAGGGTATGCGGCGACAGCGGCGGCAGCCTATGCGAAAGAGCTGCTTTCGGTGGTTCCAATCAATCAGATTGATGACACCCCTCTAGCACGAGATACTCTGGCAGACTCTGGTGAGGGGCTTTAAATTTTCTTCTTAAGCCTTTTAGATTGATTACTAAACATACTTATATATATATAGTTGATCGGTTCCGAATACCTCTAGATCTCACTACTGTGCCTGTGATTGAAAACTTTGTGGGGCGGCAAGCCGAGCTAGGCCGCCTCTAGCAGTATTTCAAGCCGGCGGACCTCCGACGAAAGGTCGCGATTCTTCATAGGCTTGGTGGAATCGGAAAAACGCAGCTGGCAGTTCAATTCGCACAAGAACATAAACATGATTTCACAGCTATTTTTTGGCTGAGTGGCAAAGACCGAGGCACACTCCTACAATCAATTAGCTCTGTCTTGCCTCGGCTACCCGGGCAATCGCATACTAATGAGGCAATCGGTGACGAGGAGCTAGAACAACGAGCTAGACGAGTATTGAAGTGGCTAGCGAGTGACGGTAATTCTCACTGGTTGATCGTTTTTGATAATATTGATCAATACTCTCCGATCGATAGCGGGATTGGGAATGCGTATGATATTGGAAAGTTCTTTCCCGCAGCAGATCATGGGTCAATTCTTATCACCTCTCGACTTCCAGCGCTCACTGATCTAGGACAATCTATGCCAATCCACAAACTTGACTCAATGGAATCAATTCAGCTTCTCTTAAAGAACAGCGGCTTATCGGATAGTAATAACATTGAGAAGCCTGACGGTAATTTAGGTATGATGAGACTTGATATAGAGATTTTGACAATGATACTTATATAAGTAGATACTCTTGCCCTTGCCGAGCGTCTTGATGGATTGCCATTAGCGATTGTCATCGCTGCGGCATTTATGCGTCAGACTGGCACCAGCATCGCTCAGTACTTAGAATACTATCAACAATCATGGTCTGATCTTCAGTCACAATCAAGCCCTATGCGTCATTATCTACAAGGAAACATGCTACAGACATGGATGATATCATACCGTGAGATCCAAAATCGAGCCCCAAACGCAGCAGAGCTTCTCCTACTACTTGCCCGCTTCGATAATCGGGACATCTGGTATGAGTTAGTGCAAAATGCTTCCAATAGCCCCGATGTTCCAGGCTGGCTTGAAGAAACAATATCAAGCGGACTTACCTTCAAAAATTGTGTAAAGCCCCTGATTGGGTTCTCTCTTCTTGAGACCAAACAACAAGAAGGGAGCTATGCAATGCATCCCGTGGTACAGGACTGGTGCTTTCATATTACCAGCACCAAAAAGAATGTGGCTCCTAGCCAGCTCTGTGAACTGGCACTGATATCAGTCGGATGGGCAGTTCCTAGTGCAAGCGAAAGGAATTATTCAAAGTGTCAGCGACGGCTTATTCCACATGCAAATTTCGTTCTTCGTGGCGAATTCTATGGTGAGAATGTGAGTATATGGGGGGCATGTCATGGGCTAGGGGATCTCTACTCTGATCAGGGCAAGCTCAAGGAGGCAGAGGAGATGTACCAGCGAGCACTGGCAGGCTATGAGAAAGCCCTAGGTCCAGATCATACATCTACTCTCGATTCAGTTCACTGCTTCGGTATTCTCTACTGGAATCAGGGCAAGCTCAAGGAGGCAGAGGAGATGTACCAGCGAGCACTGGCAGGCTATGAGAAAGCCCTAGGTCCAGATCATACATCCACTCTCGATACTGTGAACAACCTTGGGGCTCTCTACAAAGATCAGGGCAAGCTCAAGGAGGCAGAGGAGATGTACCAGCGAGCACTGGCAGGCCGTGAGAAAGCCCTAGGTCCAGATCATACATCCACTCTCGAGACTGTGAACAACCTTGGGGCTCTCTACTATTCTCAGGGCAAGCTCAAGGAGGCAGAGGAGATGTACCAGCGAGCACTGGCAGGCTATGAGAAAGCCCTAGGTCCAGATCATACATCCACTCTCGATACTGTGAACAACCTTGGGGCTCTCTACTATTCTCAGGGCAAGCTCAAGGAGGCAGAGGAGATGTACCAGCGAGCACTGGCAGGCCGTGAGAAAGCCCTAGGTCCAGATCATACATCCACTCTCATGACTGTGAACAACCTTGGTCTTCTCTACTCTGATCAGGACAAGCTCAAGGAAGCAGAGGAGATGTACCAGCGAGCACTGGTAGGCTGTGAAAAGCCCTAGGTCCAGATCATACATCCACTCTTATGACTGTGAACAACATTGGGAATCTCTACTCTGATCAGGGCAAGCTCAAGGAGGCAGAGGAGATGTACCAGCGAGCACTGGCAGGCCGTGAGAAAGCCCTAGGTCCAGATCATACATCCACTCTTACCACTGTGAACAACCTTGGTCTTCTCTACAAAAACCAGGGCAAGCTGAAGGAAGCAGAGGAGATGTACCAGCGAGCACTGGCAGGCCGTGAGAAAGCCCTAGGTCCAGATCATACATCCACTCTGGATACTGTGAACAACCTTGGGATTCTCTACTACAATCAGGGCAAGCTCAAGGAGGCCGAGGAGATGTACCAGCGAGCACTGGCAGGCCGTGAGAAAGCCCTAGGTCCAGATCATACATCCACTCTCGATACTGTGAACAACCTTGAAATTCTCTACAGAGAGAAAGAGCAGCTGAAAGACGAAGAGAATTCGTGCCAGGGCCCAGGGAGACTTGCCAGACAGTCAAAAGGCCCCACGTCGTAATGCTAAAAGGAAAGGGTGGGCTATAGCTAAACTTAATAGGTGGCTTAATAAATAAGAGTGAAATAACTTCATATTCAAAATGGTTTTCAGAAGAACGACCAGCTGTATGAGTCTACTATAGTGATTATAACAACACGGCGTTACCTAAGAGCAAGCTCCAGTGAAATTGCTATATACAGCTGGGGCCTGAATATACATAGCTGTATCCGTGAGGATATCGTGCGGTAGATAGTTAGACAAATTAATGATGGGCATGGTATGTTTAGATCTGTAACAGATATGTTAAACAAATTAATGATGGGCCTGGTATGTTGAAATCTGTAACACTGTAGGTACAGATACCATAGTTGGTATTTTACTTGTTCCGAGTCATACGATTCATCCTTGTAACAGATTTTGAAATACAAGACTAACCAAATATGGAACAGCGGATCACATGATTAGGGTTTGAAACAACTTCTCTATGTATTCGACATGGAAGGCGAAAGCGGTCACTACTGTACGGAGATGAAGGACACAGATTCAATTATTCAGGACCCTGGACAGAGTAAAAAGCCAGCGCCGGAACAGGCCAGTCAGCTGCAGCGCCATGAAATCAAACCAGCTAGTCTCAAAGATGGTATTCTTGAGGATACTGAACTTTTGGCTGACCTGCGCTCGCTGTCTTTGAATGAGGATAGTGATGCAACTGCAGATGGTTGGGGGACATGGAGGAGATCAAAGTTTTTCATTCTCCAGTATGGACCGCGCCATAATGCCATGTTCAAGGCAAAATATACAAATGGATACAACACTGAAGGAATGCTGAGCATATCGGATCCCGACTCGCGCATCACTCAGCTGAAATCTAAAGATGACCAGGGGACAAAACAATGGAGATACTCACGAGAAAACGTGGTTGGCATCTGTGGAGTTGCATTCGAAGAGAGAAAATATCTGAACAAACAATACAAAACACGCCCTGCTGTCTGGATAAAGATCAAATGGAAAAAAATCAAGTCTGACGATAAAATGTTCCTCAAAGGAGGCTGCTCTTGGATTCCTAAAGGTGATTTTATTCGCTTATGTGGAAAAAAAGATGATGCTGAAAACAAACTCAGAGAGGCTTGGTCTAAACAGACACAACGGTTTACAGACTGGCAGAGTAAAAGAACCGATAAATCAAGAGAAAGAACCGACTTTTCCCCCACACCCTGTCCAATGGATGCTGTTCCAACTCTCTCGACTCAAAGACGTGGCTATGTCCCAACCAAGCTCTCTGGAGAGCTCAAGCAAGAATCCGAAGACGAATCCGAAAACTTTGTTTCGACCATCCCTGCAACTGATACTTCAACAATTGCGAAAAGCCAATCACCCCGGGCAGGAATTCAGACTGAAAAAGACGAATCAATCATATCACTTAGTCGGAAGGATTACATGGCCGCTATTGCTCGAAAAGAGAATTGGGATGACATGAGCGCTGCAGAAAGGAAATTGAGGCAGGATATTGCTGAGGCTGATCACGCTTCCCACCAGAAGAAGATACAAGCTGCAGAAGATTATAGAAATGCCTTGCAAGATGCTGAACCTGAGTAGTGAAGAAAAGTTCAGAGTATTATGGTGATTCAGAAATAATAAATTGACTGATGGATTTTTGGTCTGTAATCCAGTTTGTTTGATGTTCTGTTTATTTTTTAATTCTGTTTATTTGATAATTCTGTTTATTTGAAAGTTTTTTGTCAAATAGAAATTGATAGGTGTGAATTAGACATGTTCATTGGGTTGGGTAAACCCATACCCAACCCAACCCAACCCACAATGGGCTGGGTATGGGTCAGAAATTTTACCCAAAACCCATATGGGTTGGGTATGGGTTTGAAGTAAAACCCACACCCAGCCCATATCTGTGTCATGTGCACACCCGACTCGTTTTTTACGAGTCGGGTGTGCTTCACCGGTTCTGCCAATTTCACCGGTTCTGCCAATTTAAAATATTATTTTACTCTCTCTCTATCAATTCTGCTTTAAATACAATTCTGCTGCATCTGTTTAAAATATAATATATCCCTTTCCATCACCTCCAATATTTGGCCATTTCCCCCCTGAATTGGCTCCTGAACCTGCTCCTGAACCTGCTCCTGAACCTGCTCTTGAACCTGCTCCTCGGCCTGTTTTTGAGCTTTCAGAGCTTTTTGGGCCTGTTTTTGTAATTTTTTTTCTAGTTGTAACTCCTCCTTGGTTTTCCTGATTTTCACAGCGCGTTTTGCATGGTGTAGGTTTAATACACCAGTCTGCTGGAGGGGTGGTTGGTTAAGCTGTCGTTTGGTCTTAGAGCGCTGAATTGGTTCTTGCGCAACCCTAATATTCTCAACTGTAATCTTAAGATTTTGACGCTCTTCTTGGATTAATTGGGAATGACGAGTAAGATATTTAAGACCCCTTTGAACCCTTGGTTTAAGGAGGTCTATATCAATATGCTTGATAATCTTCTCTTGGTTCATCTGAAGTCGTGCTAAGGTTTTTGGCGGAGTATATTCAATACTAGAGGAAGAGAGTGGTGGAGATGGTGTGCGTTCATCATTGTGTTTACGAAGAGGACCTATAAACCATATATCAGTATAAACCATAAGATATGGTATACGGATATGAGGATATAAACATACCTTCAGTAGCAATAAGATCTGGTATTGAATCCCACTGGCTAGGAAGCTGACTTAAGATCTTCTCACTATCCACTGGATAGATACCACGGTCTTTAAAACCATCTCGAATAATGCGTGGTTGAAATACATCTTGTCGAATAGGGTGAATGATCTTCAAAAACTCTGCTTTCGTCATAGGCATACCAGCCCAATAAGAGATATCATTATTTTTACGTCGGAACTTTTGTTTATAGGCCAAAAATGGCTTCCCATCAAGTGGCTGGCAGAGATGTGTTGTATGAGGTAGAAAAGCAAATGGTGTGATCTTATTCTGCTCACAGGTTTGGAGGAATTCAAGGGTAAGATGCGATTCATGGCCGTCAAAAAGAAGGATTCGACTCTCTCCTATAAACCATATATTAGTATAAACTATAGTATAGGGATTCAGGGATATAAACATACCTTTTTTAAGACGATCAGGTGTATCAGTCGCCTTAATAAATAGTTTTAACCAGGAAAGCGTCAACTCATCAGTGATCCAGCCATTCGGCGATACTGCAGCCATAGTGTTTGGATATAGATCTAGTTCGTCTCCATCAAACCAAGATTCCATAAAAACAGTGCCTTTAAATATAAAGAGTGGATCCATTGACCAGCCATCAGCCGCGATGCATTCAATTGCAGTTATGGTTTCACCCCTACTAGACACAGCTATATTAGGGGTGTTTTCATGACCAATAACATTCTGGTTTTTACCTTCACCAGGTTGAAAACCACACTCATCAAAGTTATAGATTAACCGCGAAGGCACACCACGAAGCACACATTCAAGCAGATCATACCAATGACCTATCTCAGCTGGATTTTCAGCCATCATTCGCTTAGAATCCTTGACTTTCTGCTTCTGAGGACCTAGTTTTAGACCTTTAGGAAGACGCTTAGTAAAGCGATATACCCAATTTGGCCCAATAGTTCTAGAATCCTCAGTATCTCTAGAGCTAGAATCTTGAAGTAGGCGATTTGCCCACATCTCAACCTGTTTTGGTGTCGGTGGCATGCGCCAATCAGTTAGCTGGGTAATCCAGCGTACTAAAATCTCCTCCTGGATATCGGTAAAAACCTTATTGACTGGTTTTTGTTGAGTTTTCGCGGTCGCATTGGTTTTAACGCGGTTATGGAGAGTACGTCGATTGACACCAAATTCGCGCGCAATCTTAGAGATATTTGGGTTTTTTTCGCGTTTGGCGGCATCATAGGCCTTAGAGAGACGGGCTTCAGTCGATTCAGGGGTTTTAGGCATGGTGGGTGGGAGATATTGGGTAAAATAGAATGGAATGTGAAATTGGCAGAACCGGTGAAAAAAAAAAAAATTGGCAGAACCGGTGAAGCACACCCGACTCGTAAAAAACGAGTCGGGTGTGCACATGACACAGATACTAGATTGAGGCAAAAATTAGGCACTAAGGCACTAATTACCCTAATTTAGTTTAGGTTGAGGCAAAAATCAGGCATTAAGGCATCAAAAATACCCATATGGGACCCATACCCAACCCATACCCACGTGGGTTGGGTTGGGTATGGGTATGGGTTTACCTTACCCCTGATGGGTTGGGTATGGGTATGAATTTTGACCCATACCCAGCCCATGCACATGTCTAAAACTGCCTATACTGCCGATTAAGCGACAGTATACAGCTCGCAGGCACTGCCGAAGACCAATTTTTCGGCCAAAATACTGCAATCTTAGATACACTGGAAAGCTATTCCAGATCTTTCTAGTGCATTTACAGACTCTACATTTCTGCAGAAATCGGCTTTCCTGACCCAGTCTGGTCAGGAGCTCCAGAAAAATAGCTGGGTGCTAGACACAGGCGCCAGTGCGCATGTATGCAACGAAATAGGTGCATTGTGACAACCCTACAGGCTACTGGAATGAGAAACACCTGGTGGTAGGAATCGAATTCTAAGATGAGAAAGAAAAGAAAGGAAGAGAGGAAGTGAATCCTCTCTGACTAGATCTAGCCTCCGCACTAGTACTAATCGGGATGCGGCTCCTTCCATCTCACGTGCTTTTGTCGCGTGCTGACTCATTTGTCACATGCATTCGTCAATTTCAAATACGAGAAAGACACCCTTCAACTAGGATTAGGGGAGGTTGAAACCCTCGGTAAAGGACAATGTGAAGTCAAAGGGATCCATCCAGTAGCCAAGAAATCGACATCAATCATCCTGTCAAATGTTCTCTACAGCCCTGAGTTTAGATTAAATCTACTCTCTTACTGCGCCCAGAACGACAAAGGAGGCGATTGGGTGCCTTGAAGCGACTATCTTATTGACAGAGATAGGACACCTGTCCTGTCGACTCAAAGGATACACAATCCGAATTTATTGATTGTTAAGCCATTATTGGCCGAATCTTTAGATCAAGGGATGCCTGACAACGCGTTTCCGGCGGAAAAACATGCATATATGGGCAGGAATGCCAGGAAACCACTGGAATCGAAGGCATCATTAGAGCTCTGGCATCGTCGCCTAGGGCATTTACGCCATGATGCTATACACCAGCTTCCAAAGCTCGTTGACGGAGTCGTTTTGACAGACTCAACAGACTCAACAGACTCAACTGACTCAACTGAACCACCTACTGACCGTAAAAACGGTCAAATACAGAGCCCATGCTCTGTTTGCAGTCTGACTAGAGCTCCTAGACAGATATCTAGACGCCCCCTGGGACGCAGGTATGGTCGATTCGGACAAATCTCTCTAGATCTGATTCAATTGTCAATCGCATACAATGAAGAACGCTGGATTTGCCATTTTTATGTTGATGGAATCCATTTTCAGTGGCTAGTCACCTGTCGTACAAAAGACCAGAAAAATGATGCAATTCGGCACTTCACAGAGCTGACGAGAAACTGGTGGAATCTACCCATTCGAGCATTCCACTACGACAATGAAACAGCTGCAGGCATCACTGCAGAGCGTTTCCTGGCCAATCAAGGTATTATAGTGACGCATTCAATTCCAGGACATTCTGAGATGAATGGTCCGATTGAGAGAGCTGGCGGCAGCATCATTATGCGCGCCAGGGCTCTCCTAGAGGAAGGAAAACTCCCCATCAGTCTATGCCAGAAGCAGTCAAAGCCGCAGTTTATATTCTAAACCGTACACCAACGAAGGTGAACGACGATTGGATCGTCCCCTGGGAAGAGGCGCGCAAATACGCCAATTCAGACCTACAGGACAAGCGAGCGACACTGCCTAAATCGAATCTCGCGAACATACGCCTGTACGGCAGTCTAGCTTACTGCAGAATCCAAAAGATCCCGAAAGCAGACAAGATGCTGAGAAGGGCAGAAGTTGGATTCCTTGTTGGATATATGGCATCCAATTTCTGGAGAATCTGGTTCCCAGATTCAAGGGGTGGCCAGGTCAAACCAGTCAGAGACGTCGTTTTTGACGAGAATAGGCGGCGATATACAGCTGATTTTGTACCACATAAGCTGGTAGAGATGCCTGTTTTTACTGGCCCTGCCCCAGTTATCCTGACTGAAGAAGAGGCCGACGACGTCCTCCAGAGAGAGATTGGAGTCATACAAACACGCCTACAGACCAAATTACAGGCGATGCTGCCAGAAACACAAGCAGCTGATCATTCAGACCCAGCCGATCATTCAGATCCAGCTGATCATTCATCGCTAGATGATCATTCATCGCTAGATGATCAGGACACTACCCAGATATTCAGTCCTAGTATCCCGCTTGGTGCCCAATCAGCTCCACAACCTGCTCCACAACCTGATGCATTTACTGGTATAAGCGACCAGATTGGTGTATCCAATGATGCCGAAACCCATTTTTCGGCCGAAATACTGAACTAAATACACCACAATACCCTACCCCAACAGAATATGATTGGATTCCTGGGACATTCCCAGAAGATCTAATCGAGCCTGATATAGTTGGTGGCGCTCCAGATTCGCCAAATTCGCCAGACTCAGTGCCAAATCAAGGGGTGGGGATGGCTCCCATGGAGCCAATTGAAGGGGATCTGCTCCTGTTTACTGCTCAAGATACTGCCGAAGACAGTGATCAAGACAGTAAATCTTATTTTCGACAAATTGGTTTAGATCTGGACGAGTCGAACATTATCCCTGGCAAACGCATTCGCCGTTCAACCAAGAGAGATGATGCCTACTTTACACAGCTTATGCTACGGTCAGACAAGGATCCAGATGAGCTTAAGACACAATCTCAAGTTATTTCCCATGCATTCTACACCCGAATGGTGAAGAAACCAGCCAGCCAGATGCATAGAGATGATCTTCCGGCGCCTCCGAATACGTTCAAGGACGTAAAAGGGCATGCGTTCGAAGATGCATTCAATACTGCAATGCGAAAGGAGATCGACAGTCTTACAGAAAAACGCACATTTACAGTCGTCCCAAGGCCAAACGATAGATCAAAACAGATTCTGCCCTTAAAATAAGTATATACTTATAAGTTTGACGAGAATGGCTTGCTCCTAAAGTGTAAAGCTCGTATCTGCGTACGCGGAGATATGGAGTGGATATCTACTGAAGAGAAACGTTCAGCTACACTAGCCATCGAAACTGTACGCATGCTATTCGCAATAATAGCTACATTTGATCTGGATGTACGCCAAAGAGACGCTGTCGCAGCTTTCCTGAACAGCTTACTTGAAGATAAGGAGGTTTACATAGAGCTTCCTTATGGCTTCAGGAGCACCAATGGCCAAGTTTGGCATCTCCATAAAGCATTGTACGGATTACGCATCTCGCCAAAGCTCTGGCAGCAGGAGGCCTCTAGAGTCCTGTTAGGCCTAGTGTTACGGGATGAATGCAAAATACGATGCTATTGATCCGATGTTTGTCAAAAAGAATTAGCTAAAGACTAGAAAGGGTTCCATGGAACGGGAGCTCTTGTGGAGTTTCCCGGCTCCGCATAGGGACCACTAGTGTAGTATCCACAGGAGATTACACATCTATATATCGGGCTCGACCCGTTACACCTAGGTCTTACACAGTTACTAGAGGATCCATGTGTTTTTATTGGTGACGGAGTCATAATATTCTTCTATGTTGATGACTTCCTGATCGCCAGCCATAAAACCAAAGCTAAATACGCAAGGCAGCTTGAATCAGAACTCGAAAAAGCATGGGAACTGACTGATCACGGCGACGCAGAGTGGTTCCTGAACATACGCATTGTACGCGATCGTAAACAATGCAAGCTCTGGCTATGCCAGGACAGCTATATTGACAGTATGGCTGCCCGTTTCGGCCTAAATAACCGACCGTCAGTGGCTACACCAATGCCAATTGAAGAGCTCTTACCTTAGGAAGGAACTGCGTCGCCTGATGCGATCAAACTCTACCAGGAAAGATTGGTTCAATACAGTATGCAGCTACTGTAACCAGGCCTGATGTGGCCAAACCAGCCACCAAACTGGCCCAATTCCTGCAAAACCCAGGTCCGCAGCATTCTGCTGCGGCAGGCATGACAATCACTTATCTGTTCCACACTAAGAACAGAGCACTCAGATATGGTTTAGGACACCATTCTGGCCATTCAGAACATTCTGATGACATCTCTGACCCTGATTTCGGCCGAAATAAGGATCAGATGGGTCCCAACAAAGCTTATGGTGGCAGACGGCTTCACTAAAATCTTGCCAAAACAGAGATTTGACCATGGATTCGTCTTCTCAACTTGGAAGATATAAGTGAACTGATCTAATCTAGGGTCATACCCCTAGATTCAGAAGATTTGGGGCATCAACTGCCTAAATCAGGATATAGACTGCGTTTTTAGAGGGAATTGAGGCAATTCAACAGCCCAAATCAGCCCTGTGTTTAAGGCCAGTTTACACCTTGGAGGGGCGAAAAACTGAAGGGGTGTGTCAAAGGCCCGATTCCATTTATAGTTAGTCTACTTTAGTCAGCATTGGAATCCCACAATGGGATTCCTCCATTATACAATCTACACACATACACTCTTTGATACGCATACTGCGTTCTCATTTGCCCACTAGAATCCACTATTCCTTGGTAGTCGACCTCCATTTGACATCGTTCCATAGTAACGTGATCTAGACCGATTGGGTGTGGTGCCTTGTAACCACCCCTGCTAGCGCATCGCTAGGTCCGTAACATTATATCGACTAAAGCGATCCAATATTGTTGGGATATACTGCCTCCAAAGGCTTTAAAAACACCAATTCCACCAATATATAGCTGTAGCTACAACTCAGCTCTAACCAGTGGATTCCCATGCATA